ATAACTGATAGACATACCTCGTGGCTCCATTACAACAACAAAAGCACAACTCTTGATACAATTTTACATCTCAACCATCATCCGAGTTATCTTATTCGGAGAGAAACCCGGATAAACCAAATATATCACAAAAATCCGAGTTTTTATTGTATGCAAAAGAAAAATGTTTGGAAGTTGGAACTTATTAGGAGACAAAACGTGCGAACCACAACAAATTAAGCAGCAGCATCGGCAGCAGACAACACTGAATTGACGACAAATAAAGGATCTCCCACTTTAATGCTCTTTCCCTTTCCTTCACTGAGGGTGTCCTTACAAACTATGTTCTGTCCAAAATACACCTGAAAGTCATCATAATATTCGTTCATGTTCACAAACAAGATTCTATTTCTGAATTTGCTGCTAAAGTATGAATGCTACTACACTAGCATTTACCTTCCCCTGAGGCTTTTTCTTGTCTGGGCGCAATACTCTATCAGAACGAAAGCTCGTCAGAGTTTGAGTCGGCTCAGATCCGCCAACTGCAGTTTCTTGATTAATTGTGGGTACCTGAAAATTATTATAACAATTTTCAAATACATGACAAGATATGAATGGAGTTTTCCCAAAGTGTTGATCGACTAAAAAGACTTTTACCTTGCAACGGCCGCATAATTTAACACCATTGAAGGTTGACCCGTTTATCCGCACCTCTGTCCACAGATCTTCGGAAAATGGTTCACATCCATCTACCACGATACTGCAGACAACAGCAACTTTTACATATCCATATGCTTTCATAAACGAGCATCCCCACAAAAAAATAAGGAAGATGAAGTCTAGACTTTAGACAACCTATTTGTTAGGTTGAATGTTAGTCCTAAAATAGTGTGACATAAAGAATTTATCTAAATGTGCATTTACTGGAAGTCTACTTAGACACGGTGCATACATGAAAAAAATAAATGTGCAGTTGGTGGATATTGTCGTCAAAGTATGAACTCATGGTCATGCAATGATGAAAATGAAATTGGGTTTACTTGCACATACTTGGGTCTAAAACGGTTGACGGGGATAGGGTCTTGGAGAAGGGCGTTTAAGGCATTCAACGATCCCTGGTAAAGATGAACCAGGCAAATCGATATCATTTCTATTGATTTTTTTTTTCCCTACTCGAAAATTGTCAGTTGGTTTAAACACCTGAGACAGCAAGAGAAAAGGGTACCCATCAGAAAACATAACTTTGTATCCACGCGCGTAAGCAGGGTCCACATTCCTTACTTCCGATGCTGCATAATAGAATCGAAATCCAATTAGACAAAGGTTCATGATGCTCACACATTGAACACTTACCTATCCATGACTCGGTATGAAATATTAGAGTTCTATAGCTACATTCTTTTCAGATCGCATCATACACACAACGGCAAGGAAAGCAAAAACGACACACAGAATGGGGTTTTCTAAACAAACGTCTTAATTTAAAC